GCCCAGCACTCCTCTGCCCAGCCCTCCACTGCCCCAGCCCTCTGCTGCCCCAGCCCTCCGCTGCCCCAGCACTCCGCTGCCTGCCTGCGGCCCACGGACCAAAACTATGACGGCCCAAAGTCTGCGAGACGCGACTAAGAGGGGCTGATGCACCGGGGTAGGAGAGGGGGCAGGAATGTGAAGAGCCCTGAAAATTATGACTCTGGCATTCTTCACAGAGACAAGATCTGGGAATACAAGTCTAATCCTTCCACTACAGGACGCTCCGTCATAAATCTGATCTGTCCCTCTGAAAGGCTCCACTGTGAACACACCAAAGGTCTTCAGTGGTCATAATTTGATCTGGGGCTCCTCAAGAACTGAGAGGTAACAACCATCTTCGAGCTTGTGAGCCCAGGAGGAAAGGACTCAGATCTTTGTGTGGAAGTCCCTTGTTGATACTGTGCATGGACAGAAAAAAAGGACACCAGAAGCCCCAACACTTTTCATGACTTGTAGCAGTGTGGAACAATGGTTCACATTCAGCACTCAGACATCTGATCAAACCCAAGACCTAGCACCACTCCTCCTTAGTTCAGAGTTTCTATTAGGTCATCACCAGTTTCAGAAAGAATGCTGGCAAGGTTTAAACAAGCTATAGCAGTCAGATCTTGCCACTGGGTGAGAGCCTATATCAAAACAATGCCTACAAAGTGGTCTCTTTCACCCCTAACTCTCTTGATGAGCAAAACTCACTTCGAGTTTGCTTCTAATTCAAGAATCTTCACAAGCTTGGCTGCTTGTATTTCCCTCACTACTTCTCCAGCTTTACAGAGAGCTTCCTTTCAGCTTCTCTAATGTCTCTTCTGAAGTTTTAACAGTCTCAACTTCCACTTCAGATTTTCCAGGACCTCTAACAGGTCCTTTTCTCTAAAGTATCTGACAATTCAAATGGCATCAAAATAAAGAAACACAGTAATGGTATTCATTGGAGTAGAAATCAAGCCATCTTCATCTGCTGCCTCATACCACCTGCCACCAAAGAGACAGAGGTCCACCACACTGCACTACTGAAGTTGACTCTGATCATGTACACAAGACCACTAGTTGAGTCAATAGCAATGATGTACACACTTTGAGAGCACAGAATTTACTTTCCACCCCTCCACCCCACACTCTCTGATTTTTCCTTGTGTTTCTACCATGGCCAAAGATGGGGACAAACTTGACCGATCTTGTAGCTCCTCAGCTGGGCAAAGCCAAGAAGATTGATAGCAGGTCTAAAAGCCTGGATGACCCAGCAGGACTTCTGTTCTTTTCCACTTGCCAGTCAACACTCAGGACAGTGAGACCCTGACCAGAACTGCCTCTCTGCTAAAGCAGGGTCCTCTCCAGCACTGTGCTCTGGACAAGTGATTGTCACAAATGGAGGAAGACAGAGAAGATAGAGCAATCAGGCCTGTGCCTGATGAAGTGCATTTCCAGACAGCCCAATCTTTACAAAAGAAAAGTGTGAGCAGGAAAAAAACAGTTCATGACAATTTTGGCTGCTCTGCATGGAAGATTTCACTGGATGTCATCACCTGTGTGTGGCCCTTGAGGATGTTAGTTGGCAAAAGGGTCTGCCCACATAAAATAGCTTTCATTTGCCATGTGTTTTTTGTGCTGAGATTGTCCAGGCAATCAAAGCGAGGTTGGGGAGTTGTTAGCCCAAATGAGCCAGATATCTCAGCTTATTTGAACATCTGGCTGATAAAGCCCAACTGTGTATTCAGGATGAAAAGGTGTTTGACATTCAGGCCTGGGTGACCGAGGATGGGGGACCCTGCTTTGAACGTGCCAGATGGCTAGACAGATGCAATCCTTGCCCTTGTCAATGTGTGGCCAATCTCTTTGACTGACTGTAGCCATTCACTGATCTCCAGTAACATGGGCATCAATGCAGAGAACAGATGGGCCTTCGCAGCCACAGCAGAAATGAATTTAGCTTCTGTCCCAGGTCCCATTGCATCCAGTTCCACCTCCTCTTCCATCATCACTGTCCTCTAGGGACTACATTGCTAGTCACTTCTTTCTCATGACCTATCCTCTGTCTACTCTCCTTCTTCCACATGTCCTACGATGTATTTAAACCAGAAGGTGCAACAAATTTCTAGCAAATCTTATCTTTGTTCAGGGTCCTTCCTCACCAAAGTCTCAGATGATGACCTGAAAACAGAATGAAGTCCATGGTGTAAAAGGAAAGGCATCATCCATCTTAGTCCTTCACCTCTTCATCCACTTCCACATCCCTCCCAGAGCAACTCAGCACATCTGGATGGCTCATGGCCCTTGACAATATCCTCCAAGTCTTTCACAGACAGGTATTTCAGTCCTACAGGTATGCTTCTTGCTGCTAGCACCTACAGGACAACCGGAAGTAGTGGAGGTCAAATGATTCCAGAAGTCCTCAGGACATGCCTCTGTCACAGTGTGATAATGCAGGGATGCTTGACTGAGCTGTTACATCTGCATGGTTCAGCTGGAGAGACCTCAACCTGGAATGCCACTGTTGGAGATAAAATCCTGAGGCCCTTCCAGCTGTCTTCTTAGGCAGGAGATGACTTACATCCAAACCCACTGTCTGCAAGCTGATCCACAGACTACTGCAGTGCTGACAGCAGGGCCTTCCTGCTGCTCTGCCATGGCTACAGCATAGAGGGAGGGTGGTGGGATCTGGGCCAGGTTAGAAACACTTTGCTTCTAGGAGCAGAAGGATCTCCCTGGCCTATGAGCTCCCCTTGCACCGATGTGTTGCTTCAGCACCGCTGTCACGTGAGGCACGTGAGAAGAGGTCGATGTTTCTGGAGTGCAGGCAAATGAGCCAGAAAGAGGACCCAGGAGCTCAAGTCTCAAGACTCTTTGTCCTTCTTTGAAAGTGTAGTGTTATCCAGGGATTATCCGAGCTGTTTACTGCAGGGAACTGGCCAATTTGCCTTTGAAAGAGTTGCGTTACTGCCTGTGGGGAAGGCGAAGAAACAGCCATGCATTGGAGCACTATTTAACTGTGCAGGCACTGGGGAAATGCCTATTCCACTTACATGCAGGCCAGATTCAAACCCATTTAAGCAATTTCAAGCTCTTTTCTCGTTATTCCAGACCTTTGGATCTGACTCCAGATGAAAAAAGAGGAGAAAAATGAAAGCTGTGACTCTTTGGTCCAAGCTGATGTGGACTCGGGGACACTATCACAGGCAGTAGGCAATCTCCTTCAACGTAGACAGTTCCACTCTCTATTCTCCAGCCTTTTCTACAGAGCAGTGTTAATGTCAAGAGACCCCATCTAACCAGGTATTTAGAGTGAGCTGTTTGGAAAGGATGCCACTTTAGAAACTGAGGCTAAATCTTCAGCAGTCCAAACAATGGAAAGGAAAAAAATCCAAAAACAACAAATGAAGCAAATAAAAAATAAAAGAATCAAACAAAATTCCTGCAAACCATCTATCCCTGCAAAACTCTGCCACATCCACCTGAGTCCGCATCGTCTGTATGGTGTACCATATGAATGTCTACTTAACATTCAGCTTGACCTGCTGCCCACCATCCTCTTTGCTCCCTCACCATTTCCTTCCTACCTGATAACAAGCAGCATCTGCCCTGGTGGAAGGGTACCATGAGCAGAGACTGAGCCCAAAGGCACAACAGTGACACATTCCCTCTCCCTCCCACCCCTAAAAAGAAAACAGGCAAACAGATATTTGCATGGATAACAAAGTACACGGCACCCATGAAGTTTGCTTTTTTGCCTCCTTTTAAGCAAATCCAAACATTCCATTGCTGTTGGGAGTGGAGCACAACCAGCCCACCACAGCCCGGGATCATTTCGGGGTCAGCTGTCCCTGTGGCAGGCACCCCACATGAACTATGCATCGTTCTCGAGCAGAGGAGTTGAAATCTGGGCAAAGCGCTCTGTGCCTTTGACCCTCAAAACAAACAAATGGAAACCACAGCAAATGGGCAGGAAAGGGAGAAAGGGAAGGAAACGACCCAAGGATTTCCCTGGATCGTGCTGACACAAAGGGAAAATAAAATTCACACAGAGCACACTCTTGCAGGTGATCCAGACACCGTCATGTAAGCAATCAAAGGTAACCACAACAGAAAGAAAATCAAAGGATAAAAATCTACCCAAAGAATCCCCCAAATGGCATGAGTTAGGACGTTCCAGGAATGCTGGGGTTTATCCATTAGCGACACTCATGCTTTCAGCCCCAGTGAAACAAAATCATGATGCAACAACTGTTTGGTTTTGTTCTCCCCCCAAAAGTGCAAGTAAGCCCAGTAACTTTCTTCAGACCATTTCTTTGGTTTTGTGTTTACTGTCCATGCATGTAACACTCAGTGCAGCACCGTCAGCCACAAGGTCCGATCACACCGTTTTTCCAACAAAAAACAGAACAGGGAAGAGGAAAAGGTAAAAGAAAAAAGAGGGGGGGGAAGTAAGAAAGTAAAGTACCCCACAAAAAAACCCAACCCTCAAAACCAAACCCATCTCTCTTTTTCCTTTCTTTTCAAAGACCACAAAAGCAAGTCAACCAAAACCACAAAATAAAAACTGAAATAACCAAAAGGAGAAAACAACAGAGAGATCAGAGGAAGGGGGAAAACGAACAAAAAAACGAACATTAATGACCCAAAATAAAAAAAAATAAAAACTAACCAGCTGAATTGGGAGTTGAGGGTGAGTTAGCCTGGCTTCCATGGGCTGACACATTGGTAGCCGTGACAGCCGTTTTGGCAGCATAAATATTGGCTTCCTCTTGAAATTTACCTATGTTCTTCTTGTACCGGATTCTCTTATTTCCAAACCAGTTTGATACCTAGAGCGAGTTTAAGAGAAGACAAAGATGTTAACGGTTCAGTTCTGGTGAGTGCAGCTGGGTGAGGAAGGTGGATTAGTTCAGGTTAAAGGGTGCATATTCTGTTCTCCCCCTACATTCTCCTAGCTGTGGAAGGAAGCATATTCTACCCACACCTGCCACCCCAAGCCCAGGCAAGGTAGTGGGGTGCACTTCGGAGCGCTGGGTTTCTGCAGATCTATCTGGGTCCTCCAGTTGGGATGTCCACTAAAGGGATGCTCCACAGGAACTGCTAGAACCACTCCAAGAAAGCATCAGATGTGTTTAAAAAAAACTTGAGAAAGTCAAATGACCCTGAAATAGCAAAGTTTGAAAACAGCTGTCATTTTGGAATTTTTTATTTGTCTCTTCCTCAGTACCCCCTTGACAAGGATAGATGCCTCAGTTCCCAAATGCCCCTTCTCCTCCCTTAGAGATACCAGGGTTGGCTTTCTGGGAGAACACCCAAGCAGTTTATTTGGGCCAGGCTGACAAACAAGACTGCCTTGATACCACTGAAGCTCTCTCTGCCTTTGATCCAAATGAAATTAGTGCAAAAGGCCAGAAGTGGATGCTCATCATCCAGCTGACTCAGCTTTGTATGGTTTAGCACGAGCCACTACATAAACCTGGGCCTTCAGGGAAGGCTGGAGGTGGAGCACAAGACTCATAAGATGACCTAATTTTGGTTCCAGGGACCAAATGGGTACCTTGGAAAGGTGCAGGAGATGCTTCCTTTGTGTTTCCCCAGAGACTAGTATGCTTCTGATGTGTCTAAATGACTAGAATTGTGCTGAATGGGGCTAGTGGATTTATTTTTAAACATAGAGATGCAGGAGAAACTTCTTTGCAAGTCGTGGGGGTGTCTGAAAATGATGGGCCAGATCTGAAGGCAGAATGAAGCAGTGCAGCTCTACTTAATGCCAGCCCTGGAGAAAGCTGTTTCCCTGGGCCTGTATCAGCATCATGCATGAACCTCAGAAAGCCCCAAGGAGAGGTCCAAGCAGGGATCGTTGTAGACTGTCAGGATGATATCTTGGGATCTGTACTATGAATGCTTGACAGAAAGGTCACTTGGACAGCCTGCCAGTCTGTGGATAAATACCCCAAAGTTTGCACGTCAGAGGTTCAGCACAGTGAGAGCATAACTCTGAAGTCTGTGAAACCAGGCTGTAGCATCTGGCCAAAACTGCTACCCAGGGAAGATATCAGGGTAGCTCCTGAACCACCATGAACTCAGCATTCCCAAAATCCCACTCAGTACCCTGCTGGTGATAATCCTGTTCACTGGTGGACATTATGTCACACTGAACAATTTTAGAGAAGATGTGGGAAATATTCAACCTACAGTTTGGGAAGCATCTCTCAGCTTCTTTGACACTACTGAGCACAGAAAATCAGCAGAACATCTCCCTACATGAAGGTCTCTAAGCAGAAGACAACTTGCAGCTGCTACTGACCTTGTTTGATAAAGCTCATCAGGATGAAGAGAATTAGGCAAATACCAGCGGATGCTGCAACTCTCCCAGAAGAGCTCCAACACTCCTAGGGGACTGCTTGGAGCTGCAATCTTGAACTAGGAGATCAACCTCTTTGGTGGGACTCCAAGGATATTCTCCCTTTGTTTGCTGGTGATCAAGTACATCAGTGCTCCCCCCTTCCAAATGGGCTGCCCAAGCATCAAGACACAGAAGACAATACTGGAAGTTCATCCTGGGAAGCTCATGATTTTCTCCTCATCTTACGGGAACTGTTTTGGCTTTGGTGTTGACAACTGAAACTCGTATGCTTTTATTCCTATAATGCTTTCTACCTGCAGGGCTCCTAGAGCACTCAGCAGCTTCTACACAGAAGTGGCTTCATCCGCCAAGTCACCTGCTACTGAACTGCAGGTATGCAATCCTGCGCTGCTGCAGAGCAGGAAAGAGAAAGTATAACCTGCAGATTCCTGGCAGGCAAAAAGTAGCAAGAAACTCAGATCAGCACCCAACCCAGATCTGGGAGCGAACATTTCGATGGCACCAGGAGCAGGTGCAGTTTGCAAGGAGCTCCGCTCCACTTCTTGGTCCAGCTTTCTCATTAAAGACCACTTAGTTCTCTCTCTACAACAGCTCTTCTAGCTTCAAATGCTGGAGCTGGTGGGTGAACTCTAGGTGTCACAGGGAAAGGATTAATGGCCACCACAACTGATCTTCATCTTAAAACCTGTGAAGCAAAGAACATGTCTACCCCAGTCAGCCTCTGAGTTTGGATCAACTTTGCCCATGACTTGCATATGTTCATGCTGCCCCATGTTCCTACTTAGCATCAGCAAAACCAGACTTGGATGTGTGATTGTTTCTACCTTCTTTGGGTGAAGAAGTGAGTGAGATCTCGGAAAGATGCACAAAGCACCCTTGGTACAGCACAGTCAAAAAATATCCTAAGTGCTGCATTTCTCCTGGGCATTTTGTCTTTGCAAGGGAGAAGTTTTAAGTGTGAACAGATGAATTAAAAGTGAGAGGGGAAGCATCAGGACAGCTGTAGTTTTACCTAAGCCAATATGTGCTGTCTCTTGTAAGTAACTCTGGGCAGAATCAATGTTTGGGTCTTCTGACCCAGGGGATGCAATCGGAGTAACTCAACAGGCATTCAGCATGGTGACAACATTGAAGGCAGACATGCTCTCACAAGGACACCAGATGCTACTGCTGTCTTCAGTTTACTCAAGTGATGAACAGGAACATGCCTGGGGCTGGGAAACAGCCCAAGATGGGGAACGCAATGGGAGCCTAGAGAGAGCGCTAAGCTCACGCGAGGACAAGACTACCAGAGGCCATATAGATTGGCTTGCAATCATGCAGCTTGATCCAAAACCAGAGGAAACAGAGAAGGGCAGGCCTGAGGAACGTATGGCTGAACAATTGAAGGACTGATTGTGCTCCTCACAAATCCCAGCAGCTCCCAGGTCAAAGCTACAGATTCCAGGAACTATGCTGTCGCTTTGAACGTATGGAAATAATTCAATTTGCCTTTATTGACCACCTTTCTTTGAGGGATAAGCAAGTCAGGGAGATGTCATGTTCTGCAGCACAAGAGTAATGACAGAGAGAAATGAGCCTGAGGAAAGCCCACCCTCCTTGAGCACAAACTACAACCATTAGTCTGTCTGACCCAAAACCTTCTCACCATGACCTTGTCCATTCTACCTTATCGAGCAAAATCTAAAATTTTTCCTACTGTCTTTGAATCCCTTGGCTTAAAGAATGGAATTTCAGCTCAAACAAGCTCTTCTTGCAAGCCAGCCCAGATTCCTTGAAGAAAAGGCTTTGCCTCTGTGGGTCATGCCACGTCATTTCTGCGCTGTTAACATCCAGCACTGGGACATGACTGACTTGACTGAGGTCTGGAGTGCCCTTCACCACACTCAGGTCTCCCATCAGCAGTAGCCATCTTTGCTGTATTTCTGAGCTCTCTCACCTGTGAGACTGTGATGCCACATTTCTTGGCTAGCTCTTCTTTGGCTTCCTCACTGGGGTAAGGGTTGCTGAGATGGGAATAGAAATACTCATTCAGGATTTCTGTAGCCTGCTTGTTGAAGTTTCGTCTCTTCCGCCTTAGCATGAAGAAAAAGGGAGAAATGGAAGGAAAAGGGAGTCAGTGCCAAGGATCCAGAAATAGGAATGTAATTTTAGATACCCTTAACCTTCCCCACTTCCCTCCCTCTCCCTTCCCTATGGAGTGCAGTAGAAGCCAGGAAGCTTCTTATCTGCACCTTGCTGGTGACTCCTCTCTCAGCACCTTCCAAAGCAAGTGAGTCTCCATCTCCAATTATCACTGTATCCTCCAGCTCACAGAAGAGTCTTAAAACTGGCAACCAGCTCCTCCACCTGGGAAGGTGAGTCCTGACACCTGTCTGCTTTGGCCAAAGACATCACTGCTACTCTGCAGAGTTCCGTGCTGAGAAGGGAGCACTGGATATATCCTTGTGGAAGTCTGTTCCATTTACAGCTGGGCATTATCTATCTGCTACCTCTTTCTTCATAACCCCAGTGGTAAGAGGCCACAGCCTGCACATAAACAGCCTGGGGAGTGAAATAATTCTGCATCAAATTGAAAATCTGGGACAATGGAAACAGAAGGAAAACAACAGGAACCTAGAGGGGATGGGATGGGATGAAGAATTACCTTTCATCCCGAGCAGAAGTGCACATTTTCATAAAGAGGTTTGTTGGAATATGCCACAGAATTTCTTACTGCCCCAGCAAAACTAGGATGTGCAACTCTCAATGTGCATCTGTGAGTCTCCCCATGACAGTGGCTGGATATCTTGACTTGCTGTTCCCTCCCCTGCTGAGCCACACACAACTAAAGGATAAGGAAGGCAAACAGCCTCCATGGCTCAAGGCCAAGAGACGTGGCCCTTCAGATGGACCTGAATTCACTCCAGAACCTCAAAACACCTCTCCCAGGTCTGAACAGTACTGCATAGTGGGTGGGGAGAAAGGTTTGGTGGGGCAAACTCACCGTGCGTCCAGAAATCGGGAGCGCAAGATCATGACGGCTTCACACGTGCTTTGCTTCAACTGCATCTGGATGGAGCTGAACTTGCGGTGGATGATGCTCACCATCCGCTCTATCTCCTTGGGTGAGATAGGTCGGGTTCGGCTCTGCTCACGCAGCAGGTTCATCACGTGGGTGGTGAATTCGTTGCATGCCTGGGATGGCAGGAAAAGCAAAAGAAGCCCCAGGATCGGAAGGTCATTCGATGACGTCAAGGACAGTACAGAGGCAACACTGCTAAGCAAGGAGATGCAAGTGGAGGCCTCAACAGCTGAGGCTTTTTAGGGCAGACCCAGAGCCAACAGTGTGCTGGCTCTCAGGAGACAGAGAAATTTCTCTCAGTTGCCAAGCAGAGGGAATGAGAGACTCCCAGAAAACATGTGGAGAAAGGTAGGAGCCAACTTCTTTGCTCCCAGGGATTGTAGATGGAACTGAGGCAGGTGAAGCCTAGAATTCATGAGGAAGATCCAGCAACTGCTTTTCTGTATGGGACTGGAGGAGCCGTAGATGTATCTGAGGAGGACCATCAACCTTTTGACCCGCTGTCCCTCCTCCTGCTGCACACCTGGAGCCCAGCACCCTGTGGAGCAGAGCCCCATGTGCTTTACAGGAGCAGCTCACAGAGAGACACATCCCTGCTCTGTGCTCTTAACACATCAGATAAGAAGTAAATAATGATAATAATTAAAGCCTGAGTGAGGCAGGAGCCCTGACAAGTAAGGGCAAGAAGGTAATATTCCCAATTAGGTTGCTGCTGGCACAGCACTGTCTGGCTGCTCCTACTGTCCCCATGCTGTGCTGTGAGGATAGAGCAGTGAGAGGAGTCAGAAGGACAAGGGAAGGATTTTGAGGCTGGATAAAGACCACTTCATTGCCCTTTCCTCCATACCCACCAGTACCTCACAGGCATGACAGGATCCTCTGACTCCCCGAACCAAGCCCTGAAAACGAGGTTGACAACAGCACTTGGACACTGATGGCTTGAGAAGCCTTCGGTGCTTCTGGGACATGGGCAGCTGTTCTGGGGACAGTGTGCCCAGTTCCCACCCTATGATGGGGAGAAAGGGGCTAGAAGGGGAATGAAACGCTATTTTTGTAGACTGGTGACATGGGCTTGACTTACGAACTCCCACCTCACCCTTCCAAGCTGAATCTCCACCCATGGCTCTAATCCAACGAGGAGACATCCCTGGGGCCAGCAGAGCCCCTCCAATGGCCTACCACCAGCTTCAGCTGACATCTCCCATCTCCCAGGTGAGTGCTGGCTGCAAGAGCTCTCAGCCGGGTGCCTCTTGGCTCCCAGATGCCCAAGCAATTTCAGCTCATCTCCTCTTGGCGTGAAATAAAAACCAATAAAGGCAAAACTGCCGGTGAGTGCCGTGCTGTCACAGCAGCAGCCAGGCACTGAGCTCTCCCAGTCACCAACAATGGGACTGGAAAGCAGGGCATGGAGGTTGAGAAACTTCAAATCCTGGTTTTGCAGGACTCTGGGTGATGATACTGGAGACGTGGACTGGCACAGCCATTTGCAAAACCACTTGGTAGCAAAGCCAACCCTCCCTGTGGGTAGTGAGAAGGAAAGATGTGGCCCATCTCACCCCATGGGGCTGGGGTAAAGGCTTCTCTCAACTGGGTGTCCCCTTGGGGAGCAAACGATGCAGAAACAAAACCAGTAAAGCAAACAAACAAAACTCCCACTCAAGGGGAGGAAGGAGCAGAAGGCCATATCCTGAAGCCTGTCCCTGGCTGCACCAAGGGTCTCTCCTTGGGCTTTGGTGGCAAAGAACAAGGGGTCCCTCTCCCCCTCTTCAGCCTGGGGGCTGAAAGATGAGCCTTGACATGCTCACCACTCCTACCCCTGTGAGATGACTGAGGGTCCCCCATGCTGCACTACCCCGTCTCCATGCCTCAAGGGAATGTCAGCAAGGGCTGAGGACAGTCACCAAAGGTCACTCTTCCAACCTGCCCCCTGGGGTCCCTCCTTTTCTAAAGCTCTGCCAAAATGCCTTTTGCAGCGTGATCACACTTGGCTTCTCCAACACCAGAGCCCTGCTGGCCACCTCAACTCCAGCTCCAACCTAGGGGCTACCATATAAGGTAGCTCCATACTGGCTGTAGGTCTGAAGATGCCAGCCAGCAGCTTCAGCTTGGCCAGTGTGGCACCTGAAGGGGCAAGACATCCCCCAGCTCCACCAGACATCCATCCAGCCAGGTAAAATAGGGGTTGGGCTGGTTTGCCCATACAGATCCCAGCACAGGCAGCAGAGATGGTGTTAAACCAGAGACCCAAACCCCTACCTGGCCCCTGGCCGCAGCACCCGTCCTGCACCCAACACTGAGGGACACTTTCCTGCTCACACTTCACAAACCACGACCTCAGGGTAGAAACCACATTCATCACAAGCACAAGCTGTGCAGAGGCAGAGAGAGGTCTGCAGAACATCTGGAAACATCTGAAAGGAACCGGTTCTAAGCGCTGGCCTGCAAAGCTTTCCATGCAGTTCTCACTGTTACCAATTGCTGCATTCATGACTCAAATAGTTTTTCTCTTTTTTTTTTTTTTTTAAGAATCATTTTCCACAAGAGAAAAGACACTTTTTTTTTTTTTTTTCCTGGAAAAAGAACTTTTCAAGCTCAAAAAATATTCAAGGAAGATTCTGATTAAAGCCTTGCTTGGAAAACTGCCTGTATCGAGGCAAGCACCTCAAAGAGGCCTCTCCCTTCGTAGGGCAAATTTTTGATATTAGGGGAATAAAAACTGCAAATCAAAGGGGCAATCCATGCCGAGCCTACTCTTGTGCCACACCCCAGCACAAAAACCCAACCCTCCCAACCCTCAAAAAGTACTTTTTCACTCTGATACCAAGCAAGAGTTTGCATTTGCCCGTGTGTTCCCAACAATAGGTGTCAGTAGCGATCCAGGCTGCACACATCCACACCAAGGTGTCAGCACCAGACCGCAGATTCCCAGCCACTCCAGCTCCTGGTGCCACCACCCCACGACCAGCAGCCCTGAGCAGCCCTGCCCTCGGCCGTGAAGGAGCCTGTTACCTGCTCGTACTTCTCCAGCTCCGTGTGGTAGATCTGCCGGATCTGGGAGAGTTTGGCTCTGTAGTCGGAGTGCTCCACCGAGTTGTCGGAGCCAGCTCCTCCCGATGCGGCGGCGGCGGCGGCGGCGGCAGCTGAGCCACCTCCTTTTTCGGGGCCCGCGACCCCCTCAGCCAGGAGCATGTTGTCTAACCGCATCAGCTGGGGGTCTGTGGGCTCCTCTTCCTGCGCTCCCCGGATGCTCAGCACTGCAGGAGACACAAAGGGGAGAGCAAAGCCTGAGTTGAGCCCAAGGCTTAACCTACAGAAGGGGACGTTCATCCCACATTGGGCCATCGGGGCTTGGTCCCTATCAATGGAGCTTTTCTTCCCTTCCCAAGGGTACCCCAACAAGCAGTTAGCATCCTAGTGCTCCAAGTGTCTCTTCCCCTGCTTCCTGCAGGAAAGAAGTAGGGCAGAACCAGCAGAGAGTTCACCACAGGGGTAACCCAGAAAGCCACACCTTGTGTTCAAACCCACAGTGAAACTGCTTGCAACACCAACCAAAAACCCAACAAATGTACCCATTCTTGCTGCCAGAAGTGGTAGGTACCATGTTGTGACTCAAGCATGGGATGGGAAGTTGAGAGCCTCTAGCCCAGATCTCAACTCACCCAGGGGTCATCTCATGTTGCCTAACGTGTCATTTATGGCCTGATCCTTCACCATTTTCATCATCCATCAACCCCAAATAGAAGATAGAAGATGCACAGATTGCAGAGCTGACTGTGCCTCAGTTTCCCTATCTTTAAATACAGATAGAAGGGCTTGCAAGGCCATGCTTTTACCCACATAGTGGAAAAACAAGAAAAAAAAATGTACTAAGTAAGTTTTATGCTTTGGAAAACATCTTTTTCTTTTTAGAACCCAGTCATTCCAGCGAAGTCTAAACCATGTTGAGAAAAGGGGCAACAATAAATCTTCCCAGAGTAACTTTCTAATGAGAGAATTTTCCTCCCCTCTTTGTACTTCATGCCTCAATTATTGCTTTGAGTAGAAGTCCTTCTCCTGCAAGGACTTTCCTGGAAAAACATGTGAGCATTCCAGCTACTTGGGATGCCCCAGGTCTGAAGCATGGAGGTTCCCTATGTGCCCCCTGTGTCCCCCCACTACAGTCTGTGCCTGAACACAGAAGCATAACCTGAGATTTCTGCATGTATACACGCTCAGGTGTGCGTAGCTGCAAAACAAATCCTTGATGAGTGAACAAAAAAGGCACTTCCTAACAGAAATTAATTGTATTTCCCTGTATCATCTGGCACCGGAGCTCAAAGCACTTTGTAAGCACACCCCAGCCCCCAAGCATGCACTCGTGCACATCCAGACCTGGATAATGTTGTGTGGTTTTTAATAAAGCCGTGCCTGCTTACAGCCGAGATGAATTTGACCACCTGAATCCGCAGTGCAAACAAGACCAGGTGATTCTCCTCATCATTTAATAACAAAGAAAGTCTAAAATCAGTTGGCAATAAGAAGTAAAACCAGAGCAGCTAAAAAACCCGTGCAAACACTGCGCATGGTCTTCTTCACTCTGAAATAAGTTGAAGATGTAGCTATTATAAAATGGAAGTAAAAGACCCTGTTGAGAGGTTTGGCTAACACTAAAAAGAGCTTTTTTTAAAGCCTCAAACTCTACTGAAATCATTATTTTCAGGACGCTTGCATTTATTGGCATTTTTGTGATTAAAACGTTCACTGTCAACAAAGGTGGAAAGGTCAGGGGGAAAGAAAAGAGAAAAAAAGCCTAACAACAGTAAATTTGCCAATAAGATGAGCTAGTAATAATAAATAATCCCACACTAGGGAGGATCATTTCTATAGGGAGATATGGGGGCATTGTGCCAAATTTGGAGCTAGATGCCAGCTGCTGAGCCCTGCGGAGGCAGGACCAGCATCTCCCCAGGAGATGGACCAGCAGGAGGCTTCCTACAGCACTGTGGCACCCAGCCCCATGCTTGGCTGGTGAAGAAATCCAAGGGGAGAGGTCAGATGTCATTGACAAAATAGTTTGGGATCCGTGGTCCATAAAGAGGTAAACGCAGCCAAAATCCTTACAAAGAGAAGGGTAAAGTGGGGAGGTGACAGACCATGGGTGAGAGACAAAACTTGCTAAGAAAAAAAAGAGAAAAAATTTCCTATTCTTCCAGGACAAACAAAATACCACTAAATTAAAACACATCAAAAGCCTAAATACAAAGCAACACAAGTTAAAACAAATAAATAAATAAAAGCTCCCCAAATAAATGAATCAAAAGCGGCGCTGCTGAAACAGGTGCATGTGGATTTCAAAAGGGAAATATTTTTAGATTAAAAATCTCAGGAATCATTGACCTGACAGGTAGGCACGAGTGATTAATTAGTTTATGTTTAGAGAGCTGCTTCCTGATGAAAAGCGCTGTACAACCCCCGAGCTGTATCGCTGTGTGGCACACAGGGACCAGCACCGCCGGGCGCGTGGCCCCAGCACCCGATGGATGGACACACGTCCCCACAGCGGAGACCCGAAGCCAGCCGGGAGCGTGTGGGGATGGCCTGGGCTTGGCTGCTCGCTCGGAACACGGCTGGGGAGTAAATAAATGGAAAGGCCAATGGGGCTCAGCAGAACTGATGCTGCCTGTTTATCCCTGGAATGCTGCGCTCAGCCGAGGAGAAGACAAAATGATTATTTAAAAGCTCCATTTTTATCTTCCCGGCTCTGTCCCTGGCTCCAACGCTCCTTCCGCAAGGATGCTCCGGGTGCCGGGCGCCTCCGCAGCACCCACCCTCCAAAATCTCCCCCATGATGGGATGTGACCCCCGCTCTGCCAGCCGTGGGGCTCGGGGTGAGCTGCTACAGGCAGCATCTGACCTGCAGTGGCTTGCACACCAAATTAAAATAAAATAAATTAAGCAGAATGATCCTCAATGGTCCATCAGGAAGCTGGAGCCGAGAGGCCGTGGGTGTGCTCCCGCCCACGCCCTGGCACCCCCAGGACCCAGAATTTGCAGCTCCTGATTAAAGGGGCGGGGGGGAAGGAAGAACAAGAAAGACAGTGACTGGCGGTCGGGGGAGGAAAATTCATGCAAGACTTTCTGTCCAATGCCACTAGAGGGTGCTCGGCCCTCGCCACGGTCCCCTGCCGCTCAAAATGCTGTTTTATATAAATATATATATACACACACACGCGTGTGCACACATGCAAATGTATGTATAGATATATATGGCTGTATTTTAAAAGCCGAGCCAAGACATACGACTTGCCCCTGCTTGCACCACTGCAAAACACTGACCATGGAAGGGAACCAAGGAGCATGGCCGAAGCAGGGTCACTGTCACCAATGCCGGCAGCTGGGGCCCGCCAAGCCACCAGCCTGAGGTCTGGTCACAGAAACCACCGGGGTCACAGAGATCGGTTCCAGCAGCTGGGAAGTGGCTCCCAGCTCACACACTCATGCCTTCTCCCTTTTCAGGGATGTATCATGGAGGACTTCACCCGAGTCCTAGTCCTGGGCTGGCTCAGTGGTATGGCTGTGGTGCAGGACACGGGGAGGTGGTGGCCAGACTGGCCTTGGAGAATCAGGCCAAGAGACAAAGCCGAAAATAGTTCCTTAGCTCTTTGTCTGCCGTGCAATTCAGGGATGTGGGATGGAAACCACATCAAGTTGCCAAAGCTTTCAGATGCTCCGCAACGTTTCCCACCAACCTGAGCATCTCTGAGGAGCACCAGCAAAGCAGCCAGCTCCGTGCTCACATGAGATGGGCAGCCAGCACCCACCACGTGTCTGTGTCCCCACACCATGGTACCTGTGCCTGCTATCCCTGCACGCTGGGGCAATCACGCAGCTTGATGTCCAGCCAGGGTCAGGAACATGGGGCAGGAGAAACAGCACTTGCCAGACATGGTGCTGGCATATGCCTTCAAAACAGACTGCACCCTGGGTATGGCTTGGGGCTGTGAAGACACTTAAGAAATCCACAACAATGAGTACTAGGGTCCTCCTGGTCCTCCATGCCACCATCCTCTTCATTATTTACTTCATTTCCCTAGAAGCACTTTTCCAAAGGGACTTAAGAACCCAGTTCAGCACAGGAACTGAGCTCACAGCCACTTCTCTTCTCCAAGGCCACTACAAAATGCTTCAACTTAGCAACTTTTTGCCCTCCACCCCTTTCAAACCCTCCAGATCACAGGTGCACAGACAACACAGGCAGAACAGCACCATGAAGGCAATCAAACATGATGGCAGGAGCTTAGCAGAAGACTGTGGCTCAACACTGACAACAGAAAGGGATGCTTAAACCTCTACGCTCTACCTTTCTCCTAGAAAGGGCTATTTGTCCTACTATGGTCAGTGTCCTCACGCTGAGGAGATGCAAGAAGCAGGGGCCTGCCCTGGTTGTTCTCTCAGCATGGGACATATTCACTCACAAATGGATGTAGGCTGTACTGGTACTGCATTCCCCACGGTTACTCATCCTCATGCCTTCCTTGGGTGCTGCTGCATGGGTGTGTGCTCATCCTCAGTTAGGTGCTGGCCAGGACTTTGGGGGTGAAAGTCAAAGACCAAGCAGGAGACACCAAAGGAGGCTATGGGAAGGTGAAGCAGTGGGAACAGCCTCTTCAGGGATGCAGTGGGGACATATTGGAAGAAGAAGATAGGCTGAATGATACAAAGCCAACCCACGTTGCAATGATGAAAGAAGAGGTCCTCCAGAGCCAGTGTGGCTGTGGGTTCCTCAACTCTCCACTGACCGCAGCAGCCAAAAGCGCAGTCCTGTGGGATTTGCTGTGACTGCCTTGTTAAGATCCCCTCCAACTACCTGAGCTGGCAGCTCCTCTACATCTCTGTTTGCTGACACCATCAGCCAAGGGCTGGTCCCAGCAGCTGGATGTTTAAACAAACCCACCTTAAAAAGAAACCTGCTGCATGGGGTTAATGAGGACAGGAGGAACAGTCGCCTTCCTGCCCACGCTGGGCTGCTTCTGGACAGGCTTTCTCATGGTTGGTTCTGCCTGTTCCCAACTTGATGAATGGTCTTTCCAGGGGGACATTTTAAAGGAGAAGGAGATTTCAAGTAAATGATTGCAACTTATCGAAAATAATGTGCTACTTAGCATCGGAGACAAGCATCCTGGCAGGCAGAAATGGGAAGCAGTGCCGGAGCAGATGGGAGTAATTAGGTTGTGATTTTCAGAAGGGTTTTCTTTCCTGCCTTCACTGTGCCTAA